TACCAGCCCCTTCTAATCCACCCTTCCCTTCGATCCTCGACGTCACCCACTCCTCCCTCTCTTACCCCCCCCGCCCTACTATGCTCTTTGGTAACCTCCTATTCTCGTACTCCTGCAGCAATGGAGCTATACGGCCCAACCCTGACCGGGCTGGCTAACCACCCCAATAGGCCAGTCAGCATCCTGAAATACCAACCCTTACGAAAGCGAAACCTAACCTCCATATATATTTCGGCTAACCCCTTTACTGACGGCGATATTGCCGTCGCTCGTGTGACAAATTGTTTCTGGCAACGCTTATACCCTTAAACTCGTGTACTACCCTCTTGTGGCTACTACGAGATACATCCCTTATCTTGCTGCACTATCAATACCCCGTACCACCGATCACGATAACGAAACGTTTCTACATCGCTTCTAGTAGATAAAGCGGATATGGGTTGGACGCTTCAGGAAATCTGACGATCCATCATTTTTAAATGAGCTCCCTCTCTGTGTCCCTTATGCTCTGTCTGTCGTTTCTATCTTTTTTCCCTCTCGTACAAAAAGTCCCACGCGGTCGCGTAAGACCACGGGAGTGTATGGTAAAAATGTTAAAAATTCATATTTTCTTCTTTCACTACGAAAAGGCCGCGCGGGACTACTTCGTAAGATTGTATACAGCGCCACGTGTGCCTTGTCGGAGATTACGTTGATTTTTGGATCTGTCAAAAAATCAAAAAATCAGGGAGAACTTTTACACGGACTATACACACAGATATAGTTATGCGCTTAATAATATATATCTATATGTTTGTTACAGGTAAGCGAGGACAGTCGCTGCTAAAAGTTGTCAAAGGCTTTACGTCAGGAATGTGAGTCTTTTCTTTCTTTCTTTCTTATTGTACTCATTAGATTTAATGACAGAAGTCTTGGTATCGAGTTTACCGTGAAATGTCAAAGTGCACCAAAATAGGGGCTGGACTGTACAGTGACAGTGCGACTGGACAGTTGGACGTGGATTTTGGCCACGTGCCAAGTAGGTCGGTCTGTATAGTACATCGCTCTCTCTCTTTCTCTCTCTCTCTCTCTCTCTCTCTCTCTCTATATATATATATATATATATATATGTATATCATTTATCAGTATATTTGAAAATAACTGCAGATTCCATAAATTAATGCAATAATTAGGGAAAAGACGTTATCACACTATGCAATTTACAGACTATGTAATTCCCTACTTCAGACAATTTCTCAAATGACTTTTCTCATAAATCTTCGTTAACAAGTCCAAGTGGTTTTGTTCTGTCTTACACGAGGCTTGGTACATCCGGATAGTTGCTAAGTCCGACATTTACCACCGGAAGTAACAAATAAGTCAGCACCAAGAAATAACCAGACGGTAGAAACGTTGGCTACGTACATACGTATAAATCGCCATCATGAGAATCGGCCATTCCGAGCACGTGAAAAGAAAAATCAACCGGCCAGTAGCGCACGGTCCAGTTTCTAGTCGGACGCGTCATTGATATTTATTAGCTATACCGTATATATGTATATCTACGTATTGTAAAAAATTTTTCCTCTTTCTTATCAAACACACCTATTCGTTTTAAACGTTCCTCGAGTTACGTAACGATGGGCTATCAGGTCAAACCTTCATACCGTCCAGCCCCTAATCTCAATCCCCGTAGCAAAACACGTAGTGGGCCTTTCCACATATCACGTGGCTATTTTGGTATCACATTATTAAGTTAGTGGATTAGAACAGCGACCAGTGATACCAGCACGTAGTTGGTCAGACAACTGATAAGGGTCATGCCACATTAGATAACAGGATAATCCATAACTTTCATGGTCGACCGATTTAAACATTTTTTGGATGGTCACTTTTTTGACCGAGGGGTTGATGATTTTTGGATATTCAGTGAGAGCAATGCCACGGAAATTTTTTGAAAAATTTTTTACTTTTTTTTTTGTTATAAAAATTTGTCAGCGGTTTTGGGTCATTTCAGGTAAATTTCTTCTCTTTACTGTAATCGTTTAGTTGTGCGTTAATAAACGTCGAGGACCAGTCGCTACGTTAAACTCCGTTTAATCCCACGTTAAATAATGTCCGACTTACCCGCTAACAGGAAGTGGGACAAAGTAATGGCGGCGAATGTTTCCCAGAATGCAATTTGGCAGCCCTGCGCCGTTGCATCTTATTTAACGGGGTGCTAGAGCTGTAATACGTATTCTTATGTTGGGGAATATTTATCACGTGGGAGACCCCTTTGAAATACCTTTATTATCATTTTCACCCTCAACTCCAACCTTCGCCATTCACATCGCTGCCGGATTCACGTATTAGGACGCACCGGTTATACGTGCTGACTGTATCGCACTGAGTTGGTCCTGGATAAATCAGCGCAGAGGCCGGCGATATTTCATTGCACTTTTTTTACCTGCAACACATTGCCGCCGTATGGAACGATCCAGTGGTGCCAGGTTTGCGTAATAGAGGATATTGATAAATAATAATAATAAAAAAAAAGGCACTGCCAGCTATTTTGAATTCGTCGGTCCAGAAATTGCTGTGCTGTCGATAAAGAAACAAAAAATTACACTTGTGACGCGGTTATATTTTTTTCAATTTTTTTTTTTTTTTTTCGAATTCTCTAACCGGATACAGTGTCTAAGCGAGCGAAAAATAATTTGCCGAATTCGGGAGGTCTGACGTGACGTTTTATTATTGGCTATTAATTAAATCGTAACGTGTATCTTCGACGTGAGGATATAATTGAATTTCACCCGTTGCTATTTTTTTTTTCGAAAATCCTATCTCGTAGCTCTTTGTTTTTATATACTTATTGAGAATCTCAAACGGGACCGAAATTCGTGCATTGTTTGCTCTCATCCAACTAGCCCAACCTAATCTCAACCTAACCTACTCAAAATGATCAGCTCGCGGTTCGATGGTTGACCGTTATTTTAATAAGGACAAAGTTTAACCGGCAAGTCAGATAGAGGTCGTCGCATTTTACGAGCAGCACCTGGTACGTGCTATGAAAAGTTTTTCATTTTCCTTATAGGGCTGAGTTTACGTTCGACCCTTATAGCGCCCCTTAGAACTACCCTTATTGTCGTTCTGGGGCTAGTTACCCCATCGTCTATCAATTCGAGTTAATTTTTTTTTCGATCAAAGATCACTCAGTGTCTATATTTGGAATTGACATATCGATCTTTATATGCCAAGTGCAAATTCGTCAGACAGACAAAAAAAAAGGACACGATGATCGTGTTACATATTTTTTTTAAATGCCCGCGGAAATATTTCGATGCTCTGTAAAATTATATGAACTCCGTCATTCTTTTGTTTCCAGTCACATTCATCGTTAAAAAATTTCTTCCATTTACTCAAAAACGAATATATACGATGCCTGTAGTAAAGTTTTGAGGTAACGTCGAAAATTTATCTAAAAAATTTCTCAAATTCGAATATCGCGTGTCGCGTGAATCGAGCTTTAATTTCACGTCTGCTAAACAGCACGCGCACAGTGGTGCATAAACCGGAAATCCGGTATCGAAAGTTCTGCCTAACCAATCGACGTGACGATAACTCATGGACTGAACTTCCTATACGGGTGGTTATTACAGGGTGATATTCCAAAGGACGCACGTATACACGGTACTCCATTAGTTTCCGTACTGCTTTCGGATACGATAACAGGCGGCCTACTTTTGCCAAATCTCTACGAGCGTCCTGGATCTTGGTGGGTGGGTTGGGTTTCCGTCTTATTTGTTAGGGGTTAAGGAAGGGGATGGTTTTCCGAACGATCCAGTCATTTCTTTTCATCCTCTATCTGCCCGAGAGACATTAAAGATCTCAAGGTATCCGATCAGTCAGGTTATTTTGAATTTCCCGCCACTGAATACGTTCGTTGGGCGTACGTATACATACGGTAGAGAGAAACGTCGGGTAACGTGTAGTGATTTTTTTTTTTCTTAATGAATCATTTTCTCAAAATTACTGGTCATCTTAAAAATCCCTACATTCGTAATTAACCTACAGGACTGCAGATGATTGGAGTTATCTCGTCTTGTCAGAAGTAAAGTTATCAGATACTTGGCTTGTATCTGCAGGAAATTGGAACTGGCAGGATGCTAGTACAGAATTTCATTTAACGGGTGTCACCATCATTTGTCATACGCTTTTATGACACTCGGGTATACGTATAGGGTGGACGAGTTGCCTCGTATGCACTTTATATGCACTTATCGTTTATGCAACTTTGTTGGAGAGCTCAGAGAGAGACTCAACTTTTAACTTTTGCTTCCATCCTACCTACCTACGCCATTCCACGTAACGGGTGACTGGAATTTAAAAAGACAATACCAAGAAGATTCTTTATTCGATGTATGCTATAACGGATGGTTGTAATATCCATATGGAATTCAAATGCATATTCACTCGTAGATAATTTCACGTTATCATTATGCGCGTGTTTAAGTGAACTGTACTAATTACATATACACACTGTGTATATATGTTGCTCGCAAGGATTTTAAAAGTGCATTTGAGTTGCGACAATGCGGCTTAAAATGTCTTTTCGTACCGCCTAGTACGAATGCACTGAACATTTTCCGACTTGCATCACAAAGTAAAATTATTGATTCCAATTCAGTGCACTTACCATACAGTCACTTGTGTAAATAACGTGTAAGTAAAGAATATCGAATACTATCCGACAGCCGTATAGAAGAATGGTGAAATTGGTTTCAGCATAGCAATTTCTTCCTTTGCATCAGACTTTTCGTTTCGCATTACAAGGTATATCTGTATTGGGTTGTCGCGCCGAGACAGTGTTTACGTGCACTGCGCATGCGCAAAGGACACGGCCGAATGTGTCATGGCTGCGCCCAGTCGACTCGATGTGTCATCGTATCTCCTCGTGCAGATGTTTCGGTATGTCTGAAGGAGGAGGCGTTGTTTCTCCTTGGACCTTCCAACCTTCTAACCTTATAAGGACCCTTTCTCTGTGCTTGGATGATGAGCCTTACGAGTATTGCGCGAAGTCATCTTTTTCCTGTGAGGAAGAACGAAGAGGTTAAGGAATGGCAGAGAACATCAGAGAAGGACACGAGGAACAATGACGCGTTGGCAAAGGTTCAATTCCCTATGGATATATAAAAAGAAATTCCCTAGTACGCATATATATATATATATATATATATTTACTGCCACTCCTTTCGTTCCGGATATACGAAATGGATTCCGGTTTTCACTTTCACTTTGTTACTGTATATACGTAATTTTTAAATTCACGCTTCCGCCCACCGGAAATCGCTCTGACTGACTTACGGAAGATCTTTTGGCATCGCTCTTGTCCGCAATCCGTAATTACTTATCCGCGTCCTTTTTATTAAATGTTTTTTTTTCTTTTCATTTTAACCGTGTCAAGGAAACTGTCAACATTTAAGATGTTTTTACACTTCGAAGCGTTGGCTCCGTTATTTACTGACTTCGTTAAAAAAGTTACTACCGGCTACCCGCGTAACCAGTTTCTCGTCGTATGATCGGTCGTAAAAAAGATACTTCGAAATTTTAAGAATATTTATGAATCAAGCATCCACCCAATTTTCTTATCGGCTGATATTTTGTTCTTCGAAAAGTCAAAACCTCCGTTTGTTATTTATGTATTTACTTTGCCGTTTCTATGAAATTTTTTTCTTTTTCTTTTCTCATCCTCAGAATCACTACGTCATTCGACGATTCATCGAATCCCCAAGGTACATTATTTTGAGGACTCGAGGCCGATTAAAAAAGGAGCGAGCGGTGTTACGAGTCTGTGACTAACTATGTGATAGAGGTCGCGTGCCAGTATTACGAAATCAATGATATCACGTTTCTCACTCAGATCGAAGGTAACTTTTAAAAGCCTATACATGCACACGTGCATACACAGTGGTAAAATTATTGTGGTGTTAGTGAAAGAAAAACTAGACCTCATACATCTAGAAAATATAATAGATCAGGTTACAAGGTCAAAGTACTGTGACGCAATAGCAAACGTATGTTTACATATATCTTTTCAGTTGTCAAGCACAGTGTGTCAGCCTAAAACCGGAAATTTCCGCTACCGATAAATTTTATTGTTATTAATACCAATCGACCCATGATACTCCCCCTCTCACCCCCCCCCCCC